GTGACGGCACTTAAAAAGGTGTTAGGAGATTTTTTTTTTAAATTGAAGGAAGGGAGAAGCTGACAAGTGCTAAAACATAATTCAGGATGGCACGTATTCAGAGCAGGAAGTCAGGAAAACTTTATCCTCCAGTGAATAACAATAATTTGGTGAAACTTAAAAAGAAAGAATGAAGAATAATCAAACAAAAAGAATCCCATAGTATAGAAAGAGAAAAAGAAAAGATGCTTCTTTATAAATGCTAGAAGTCTAACAAACAAGATGGGGAAACAAAAATGCCTGACTTTAAACAGGGATGGTCTCATACTATGTGTATTAGAAACTTGATGGGAAGAAGGCAATTGATCAGATGCTCTAGAATCAGGGTACAAAGTATAAAAAAAGACAGAGGAGGCAGCAGCAGTAGAGAAGTGGTAACATGCATTAGAGAAAGCTTTGTGCCAAATCAAAGTAACATGCTAATTGTGTTTACAAGCAGCTGAAAACCTATACAGCCTGACATTCCTGGCCTAAGTCAGAAATATGCCATATCAGGGTTAGATCAAATGTCTGTATCTATTACATGCTGAGGGAGATCAGAGTTGCTGACAGGGCAAGAAATGCAACAGTAACAGGAGATATCAATTTCCCACCTGCATATTGGGCAAATGTCACATCAGGGATTGATGTTGCAGAAAAAGAAAATAGTGTTGCTGCATGAAAGAGCCTACAACAGAAGAGAAAACTTTCATATTAGCCCTGAGCAACATGCAGAACCTGGTTCAAAATGCCCCTGCTCAACATTCTTGCCTAGGGAACAAAAGCCAAAAAACCCCCAACTACAATAGAATTACATAGGAACAAGAAACCTTGTTAAAAAGAAACTAAAATGGATGCCTGAAGGCTAAAATATTTTCATAGTGACTATTTAAACATAACGTGTAAGAGTACATTTGCTCTAAGCCTCTGTGTATGGACAGAGACTTTGGAAAGACCAAAAGGAAAGCTGACATGGCTAACAGCAGGACAAAGGAATTTATTAGAAGCAGAAGCCTTTCTTCAGAAAATAGAAGTTGTGTCCAAGAATGGAAAATAGAAAGGATCATAAACTCTGGCAAGTTAAAAGAAAACCACAACAAGGTCAGCCATATAGAATCCCAGCAACAATTTCCAAAGACATAAAGGTCCATCAGTAATGGCTCTGAAAGAAATTAAGGCACCATGGGACAAGAGAAAAAGTCTTCATGTGAATAACCTATTAAAAGAGTAGGATAAATGGCCAGTGTTCACATTTAAGGGAGGTCTCCAGTGATGTTTGAGGGGTTTTGTTCCTGGGCTCCTGCTGTTTAACCTATTTATAAATGGACTGGAAAAGAGGGCATATGGTGAGAAGACAATTTGGTGAAGGCACAAAGTTATTACACATAGTAGGGGCCAGTTGCCTTAACTCTTTTCAGGCTAACAAGTATTCTGTTGAAGTGTCAGTATATGCCTGCACTGATCTTATGCTCTTTGAAAGACCTGGGGAAAACCAAATGATCGCGGGGGACAACAAGGCAGAGAAGAGAGGAAGATCAAGGTCAAAGGGTCAGGAATGTACAGATAGGGAACCAGAGGGGGATACAGGGCACGCCACCCTGCAGGCATCTAAGGAGCCGGTGAAGAGTGCCCACTGGTGCCGTGCTGGGAGACCTGAGAGGAAAAGGGAATGGATATAAGCCCCGCAGTCACCAGGACCCCGTCACCAGGCTTCCTCTTTCTGCTGCTGCGGATGGTGGGGGAAGTTGATCAGGAAGTCCCATGACTCAGTGGGACCTCAGATGGGGAAGGCATAAAAAAACCCCACCCCACAAGAGGTCTTAGAGGCACCAGGAGAGGGGCTGCAGCTTGGCACAGTTGGTTTGTGTGCATGGTCGGGTCCCCAGATGGTGCACAATGGTCAGGGCACCCTGTGAGACCCGCTGTTAGCACAGGCTGCTCCCAAGAGGATTTCCTGACTTACAGTCCTGGTGGGCCATGGGATAAGCTAGGAGTACAAGGTGACCTACTGGGATCCTTCATTCTCTTCCAATGTAAGAAGTCCCATAGCATGTGTGTCTAGGGAGGATGTACAGGCAAGAGAAAAGAGAGAGGAGCACCAGGAGTAAGTATTTCCACAGCATAATTTGGGGGCAGACCAGCTGAATGTTCGATCTCTACTAAAACAGTGCCTGGCTGGGTGTGGTAAGGAGATGCAAGGTCCAAGAAGGAGCTCTGCAAGGCTGGGACTATACGGGGACTACTGTTGCAGAATTCAGTAGAGACAGCAGGCAATAATCTGCTCCTTACCTTCTGGAGAAGGCAGCATGAATGACCCCACATGGAGGGTAAGCAATGGAGAGTCCACTGAAATCTGCAAACCGTGGTCCAAGATGTCCCTAGTCCTGGCAACACCAGCACCATCTAGCATGCTGATGATAAAAGAGGAACCAGGGACATGTTAAAAATGAGATTTTAATGTGCACCTCCAGCAGACACTGCAGTTTGAATGCAGCACCTTGGCCTGCTTGGCTACCCGATAGCTCACTGCCTGCTGTTGGAGACAAGATGCTGGACTAGATGGAGCTTCAGTACAGCCTTATTCCAATTCTTACAGTTTCATGTATAGACATGGGATAAGTTCTTGCTCCTGTTTGCTTAAAGGCAATTCCTAAACTCCTAGGCCAACAGTTTGTAAAAAGCTTCTGGTTTTGGATACCTCCATTTTGAGTCTGTTTTTTGGGTCACATTTCAATTTCTACGTGAGTATGCTTAATCACTACTTTGACAAACAGGGCTGGCACACCTTAAACAGCTTACTTCAAAGCCCAGGCGTTTCAGAGGAGTGCCCGTTTGTGTATAATTAATTGGGTGTTATTTATTGAGCTGGCAGAGGGAGACAGTCTGTAGCACAAAGCTCTGTGCTGCCCAGCAGGTCATAGTTCCAGTGTTTTGGTTTCTCAGTATTGCTGGATTGCCACCGTTTAAACAGTCAGGGCAAGACCCTGACCCAACATCTGCCATGAAGAGGCAGAGAAGAGAACTCTGTCCTTAAACTTTCCTAACTCCTCTTTGTGAGTAATCTACGTACCTCTCATTAGCTGCAATCTGGAAACTCTCAGTTGCTTTTAATTGTTGGTGTGGTGAGCATCGAGATCCTAGCATGACAGGAAAGTAAACGCTGTGACTGCAGCTCTGCTGGGCCCCTCAAAATACGACTACTCTGCATTTGTGGCTGTGGATTCTTCTGTCGCTGTTCCTTTGGTTGACAGTGCCACATTACACACAGTATATTATTTAAAAAACGGTTGTCTACTAAAACATAAAACAAACGCCTTCCTGGTTTTGTCAGTTGAACCGTATCAGACAGTTTTTATTGCTGCACAGGAGATTAATAATAATAAAAATAAATAAACACCCCCCCTCACCAGTGGCTTCGCAATAGACATGAGGCACATGGATGGACCTTATTCAAAGCAGGAACCTAAATGCAGTGGAACAAAAGATATTTGATAATCATATCCCAATACAGAAAAATCTGTGCCTTGCCAGAAATGCTAAATGCTGTTTTGACACCTCTGTCTTAACCTTTGATTCTTCATTGTGGAGAGCTCTGTACTCCTTGTAGAGACCTAAGGTTTTGGTTTTTTTTAAATTCTTTGTTTCCTGATGAACACTGGCACTCAGGGGCAAATACATGAAATAAGAAGGAATCTTACATATCTTTTGCAGCCACACACTGGAATAAAAAATTAGAAAAATCCACTACCCAAGTATCTGAGGGAGTCAGTACCTACCTGGTTCAAGGAAAAAGGATACAATTCCACGAACAGCATTCTCAAGGCTCTATCAACACTGAAAAAAATATACACTCTTGACTTTTTAACCTTATCCCATGAATCCATGCCACATCCTTGTGCTTCTAGCCTCATTTCCCACAGAGAATGACATTTCTGTGATCGTGCCATCTGGCTGTCTATCAGCCAGTATGTTCTGAACCTGCTTTCTATCAAACTGACAGAGGGATCGGGGCTCAAAGAGAATTAAGTGCCTATGAAATTCATGAAAATCAGCAGCTGGGTCAAAGACAGAGATCCATGAATGCCCTTGCTAAGGGAAAGGTAGGCAGAACGTATCCATTTTACACGCTGCTTGCTAATGTCAGTCATCACGTGCAGCTCTGGACTCACCAGAGCAGATGGTGCTTCTTGCTCAGTGAGATCGAGGGCTTACAGTTGGTGTAGCGAGTGGTACGGGCAAGGGAAGGAGAGGAAAAGGCAATAGGACACACCTGTAGGAAAGCAGGTCTCATTAGGTCCACAGAACAATGTGTTTAATGATAAACTTCCACTTATTCACAAAACCGTGCAGCTCCTGCGGTTCCTGAGGGCCCTGCAAAGATGTGGATCTGTTTCTCATGGAGAAGGCTGACAGGCAATCACTGCCTCTTCACTCCCACACCCGAACCTGTCCTGCTGAGCTCCTATTGCTTCCATTGCTCAGCACTGGAGTGAAACTTGAAGCAGCTTCCAGGGCTCTGGAGATAATAGGCTTGCCCTTTGAAACCATATAAAAGGTATTAAAAGTTAGGACGGAAAGTACAGCCTGGTTCAAAGTTTCCCTAAAGAAAAAATCCCAACCAGGGAAAGTTTAGAAGCAAAATGGTTTCTTCTCCCCCAGCAAAGGGAGTTTCAGTTTTTGTTTTTCATATCTTGCTCTCTTGCTTCACATACTGTGCTGTGGAACAGCAGCTGAGCTTGCAAATATTTCTGGAGGAAAAGGGCTGTTTTGCTTGAAGCTATGCCTGTCCTAGAGGGAAAATCTGTGTGTTTTTAAGAGTCCTAACTCCTGTATTTTAACTTAACTGAGGAAGAATGTTGTTTAACATCACCTTGGCAAGAGTGTGTGGCATGTACATTTCCCAGATCGAACTGAAGGCTGACCCTTTATGCTTACCTTCAGTGCACTTCTGTGTGGGCAAACTTGTGACCTCAGCCTTCGGCATGCCGCAGCCCCTCCAGACTACATCTGGTCAGGCCGTTTTGGGAAAGATTGCTGTGGGCTGACCCACAGCAGGGGCAGGAGCTTACTGTGGTTTGCTCACTGGGGTTTTCCCCACAATGAAAAGGGAGGTAGAGAAGGTTTTTGCCTCTTGACTGGTTTATGAAGGGTAAACACGTAGCTCTGCAGGACTCACAGAAAGAGGCACTTGGGTGAAAGCTGAGTGCCCTTCTTGGAGGTGGGCTTGATGTGTGACTGACTCATGGGGGCAGGAGAGCCATCATTTTAGTGAAGAACAGATGTGAAATATATTAACTGGAGCCCTCTTCTCTCCAAGACTTCCTTCAGCAACCCCCCCCTCACTTCTGTCTTCTCAAGGACTCTATTATTTCACACAGGAGAAAGAAGTGAGAGTTCAGGATTTTCTCTCCCTCTAGAGACATCCACTGGGATTTACATTTTACTTGTACCTATCTTTTAAGTAATGGATTGAGGTCCTTGAAACCAGAAAACACTGAGAAAAATAAAGCTTAGAGCCTGTTATATTTACTATGTCGGCCAATGAAGATAGAAGCAAAAAGCTTTAAAAATAAGTAGCCTATTTCAGCAGCGAGGCCCCTGGTGAGACTGCTGTCTGACTTCCCTCACAGAACAGATTGGAGTTTCTGAAAGTGTTACCCACCCACGGCATTCACTCGTCTGAGTTGGACTTTTGCATGCTGAGAACTTGTCAAACTGACTTCTCCTCACAAAACTTTCTAGAGGTGATTTGGCTTTAGGGTGCCCAGCCTGATGTGGCTTCCAGGAACCTGGTTTTCAAAAGGGACTCACCATACACTCTCCACCCATCAAAACTCAAAAAACCCCCTCCTAAATGGCTTCTCTCCGTTGTGATCTCAGTAGCCTAAAGACAGCAGCCAGAATTGTTTTCCAAAAATAACATGTCAGCAACTTTCTGAGTTTCATGATTTGTAAATGCCTCTGTGATCAACCTCAGACTTCCTCAAAAATTCTCCAGGGGGAAACAGCCCTTACAGATCACAAGGAAAGGGCTTTTTTTTTTTTCTTTTTTTTCTTTTTTTTTCTTTTTTTTTCTTTTTCAGATATCTAGAGGGGATGTCCAAATGATTCCTCTTCTGGGAGATGCCTTGATTTTTTTTAATCAGGAAATTGTCCAGCATATAATTTGGTAGAATTATGTCACTCCAGCTGGCCCTGCTTGTCTTGAAAATTACAAAATACACTAAGAAGAGATGCTGCTTCTACATCATGAGTGCCTACATGGGGAGTTACATGTGTAACACTACAGAAACATAGTTTGTATTGCTCAGCCATGCTGTAAATGCCTGCTTAACCCATAGACCCAAGTCACAGTGTCCTCGTGGCATTATGACCTGAGGGCTTAAATGTGGTTTCAGAAACGTTGCTTTATATGGCCAACCTTTGCACAGACACTGTTCTGTTAGACCTGCAGAGAGAAGGCTGAGAGGGGATTTTGGGAGGCTGACAAACCCTTTCCCCTGTGTTTTGTCACTCAAGAGAGAGATTCTTTCAGTGCTGATTTTGATGCCCTTCACAGTGCCCCACGATCAACCTTATTTCTATTCAGATCAACCCGGGGGGGGGAGAAGAAAAAAAGGGGGGTGAGGTGCTACCAGTGCAGGCAGTTGCAGAAATGGGAGTGACCTAACAGATTTAATGGGAGGAGCACTGGTTCCTACACGTAGGGATTTTCCCTGTGACGGGGAACTTCAAGATAAGCCGTCTGGGGGATTCCCCAGTCTGCCTCCAGAAATACCACTCTAGAAGCAGTAGCAGTTTCACTCTGGTCTCACAGTCCATCCTGCAAAGAGGCACACTGTTGCTGCTCTGTGATTTGAAGCAGCAAAAGCCATGTGTTCGGTAGTCTACGCTCTGCTCATCATCCTGTGCAATGGTAAGTGGGAAGCCTTGCCTTTTTCATTCTGGTCTTCCACATTTATTTTGTGGGGATATGTTTTGGGAAGACAGGGAGGATTATCAAGGCAATCTCTTTTAAAGGCAATGTGTACCTGTGCTTTGCAGTTTGGTGCTTGATCAGTGGGGCTTCTGTGGCGGTCCCAGATGTTGCTGTGAGATGTGCAGAAGAAGCGCTGCTGCCCTGTAAAGTTCTTCAGAACTCCTCAATCATCTACCAGACAGCATCTTGGTATAAAGTAAGAAAAAAGCCTAAGTTACCTGAGCAGTCTGCTTTGCTTTCCTACCTGATATTGGCTTGTCTTGTACAAAATGGGTTATTTTATGAAGAGGCATCCACCTCTCAGTGCAGCAGAGATAAGGCAGCCATTTGAGCTAATCTCAGAGAACAGGCATTTTCCATGTCATTGTAGACAGACTATTTGAGCGTGATCCCTGAATTGGTCTTCACCTGCTTTTCTCTCTAATTATTGCTGGCTTCCAGGGATCAGAATTCAGGTGATGCCCCACGTACATATACCACTCCAAAGAGGAGTCTTTCCAGGATTTTTCTTCAGAGCAAAAACTGGTATTTAAACCTTGCAACATCAGTGATGTTGTGCCTTGGTTAATCTCTCCCCAAACAGGAGCTGATTTTTTCTTTGAAATAGAGGAACTAAACAAGCACTTGCTATTCTTTAGGAAGATTTGGCTAGTGGAGGTGGGCATAAGGGCAGGGTATGCAGAAGGCTGATGGAGAGCTAGAAATTCTGACTTACCTCTTTGCAGCCATGAAGTAAAAGTCTAATCTTGGCTGCCCTGGTTCAGAATTCCCATCTCCAAAGCAGGAGAGCCCTGCTCACCACCTATTTGCAGGAGGCCTACAAGGGTCAATCGGCTAATGAGCAGAAAGTCCTGTTCAACACTTCCAAGATGAAATTTCTCATAGAAATAGAGGCAGTGGTTGAAGAAGTGACTGTTGACTTGCTGTATGGCACCGTGTATTTGCATATCAGTGCATAGTTTCAGCTTAGGGCGTGAGCCAAATTAACAGGAAAAAAAGGAAGGTTTTGTTCTCCCCCATTCCTCACTCCCAGACATACACTCCTGCTGCTTACCATGGGTCAGTCCTGGTGGTCCTCTGGTTGCCTATTAAGTCAACTCGCTGTTGCTTGTTGTAATAGTGGAAAACCAGTCTGCAAATAAAGATTTTGTGGGTTACAGAGTTGAATTACTTTCCCATGTGATGGGAGAGCAGTAGAAGGGAAGGGAAAAGACCCTATTTTTGGTGGGTGAAGACTGTTAATTTATCTCTGCCAGAACATAAAGCCACAGCCTTGGCTTCCCCAGCAGTTTGGTCAGATACAGTTTTAAAATTATTCCCTACAGTAAACCAACTGTGTTATTAGATAGGGCTTCTCTGGTTGAAACTTGCAATGCATCTGAGTTTCAGTGCTGGTACAACAATGAGCATCTGCCTACTGACTAGATGACAACTGCAACCCAGAGGTACCTTACTCTGAAAGAGCTGTTTTGAACATCTGGCTACCAGCCCATCAGCAAGTGCACCAACTATAGTCTCCTTCTTTTTCCAAAATGCTGAACTAAGTGCGGGTTGGAGACAGAGAGGAGAGAATCATGCATTTGGTTGAACATTACTATAGAGGCTGGGATAGGTGAGTGCGGGTTGGAGACAGAGAGGAGAGAATAATGCATTTGGTTGAACATTACTATGGGAGCTGGGATAGGTGTCAACTTACTCTTCTTTTGCTTTCTGCTTCAAAAGCTGGATAAGGACATGTATTTTCCATACAGATACATGCTAATTATTTAAGGCCCCATGTTTCCCACAGAGTCTAGGCAGGGCAGGGAGCTCACTGCAGGCAAACCATGCAGTCTGGTGGACCTGGAGGAGTTGAGCCGAAGTGATAAGGGGCAGGGGAGGAACAGACAGAGAGGTTGACTGAATCCCTGAAAATTCTCCCCCAAACCAGTGCTGGAAGTCAACAAAACCAAAAGCGATTTCAGCAGGCTGAAGTGTGGGGATCCTCCAGAAGCATGTCCTTCTGAGTTCAGTGGCAGCTGGGAGGGCCGGGCAGCAAACAGGAGCCGAAAGCCGTTGCCCTGATGAAAGAGTGTAAGGAAACCCTGTAGACCCAATTCTGTGTTGTCTCGTAGCTCTTTACAGTTCCACCTGGGCACAAAATGACTGCACATGCAGGGGAGGGTGGTATTTGATGATGCCTTTTGTGTGTGCCCCTTCCTCGGCAGCCCTTACCAGTGCTGCTTCCCTTTGCAGCAGTCAGGCTGTTACAATCCAGACTGCCACTGCACCTCCCCTGCCCTGTCCTGCCAATCTCCTCTGCCTTCATGGTCTCCTTGCTCTTCCTGCTTCATCTGTTTCGCTCAGGAAAAGACTGTTTTTCCAGTGCCCAGCATGACAGGACCTCATGCTTTTTTTCTCTGCTGGCATTGCCAAAACTACAAGAAGTAACAAAATCTAGCTATCTTCAGCTCTTGCCACCATCCTCAGGGGCTGATGGCACCAGCCATGGTACTGCGGTCTTCTGGTTACTCATGCCGGGAGAGTGGTGGGAAGCGGGGACAGGCAGTTAGCACCACTCTTGGTGATGCTAGCCCAAGCCACAGTTGCAGCCATATTAGGAAAAGCACAGCACCAAAGCTAAAAAGCCTGACTCCCAGCAGGAAAAAGTAATTTAGGCTCAGTGTTTTGTGCTGAAGAAGCAATACTTCTTCTACTTGTGGGGCTAGCTAAATAGGCAGCAGCTTGGTGGGAAGCGGGGACAGGCAGTTAGCACCACTCTTGGTGATGCTAGCCCAAGCCACAGTTGCAGCCATATTAGGAAAAGCACAGCACCAAAGCTAAAAAGCCTGACTCCCAGCAGGAAAAAGTAATTTAGGCTCAGTGTTTTGTGCTGAAGAAGCAATACTTCTTCTACTTGTGGGGCTAGCTAAATAGGCAGCAGCTTGAAGCTCCTCTCCTCTCCTCTCCTCTCCTCTCCTCGCGTGCTGCTGTACCCACCCAAGACTGCAAAAGGAATGGGGGAATATGGCAGAGCACGACTGGGCTACCCAACACAGAGAATTAATCTGTTATTTAAAAAACAACTACTCTTGAAGCTCCTCTCCCTGCGTGCTGCTGTACCCACCCAAGACTGCAAAAGGAGGATGGGGGAATGGCAGAGCACGACTGGGCTACCCAACACAGAGAATTAATCTGTTATTTAAAAAACAACTACTGAAGGATTAATCAATAAACACCACGTATATCCCCAAAGGGCTAATTAAAAGGTAATTCCAACAAATGGTATGAAATTTCAGACTGTAAAGTTCAAGCAGCTGTTAGGCTAAATCTTTTGTATGAGGTCACTTTGAACTGTGCAGTAAATGCAAGCAATTAACCTTTGCTTCTACTGCTTTAAAAAATGATGGCGACAACGTTACGGTGCTGCACATGCAGCTGTTTGTGCAGGGTGAACGCTTGGCGAAAAACCCCCTCCTTCCTACAGGCATCTCTGCATGTTCTGACCAATTAAGGGGTACTTTTAAATAGCTTTTGTATGAGGTCACTTTGAACTGTGCAGTAAATGCAAGCAATTAACCTTTGCTTCTACTGCTTTAAAAAATGATGGCGACAACGTTACGGTGCTGCACATGCAGCTGTTTGTGCAGGGTGAACGCTTGGCGAAAAACCCCCTCCTTCCTACAGGCATCTCTGCATGTTCTGACCAATTAAGGGGTACTTTTAAATAGTTTGTTACAATCTGCTCAAAAAAAAAAAAACCCCAAGGATGCTATTTAAAAGCTTGCTTTTTACTTTTAAATAGTTTGTTACAATCTGCTCAAAAAAAAAAAACCCCAAGGATGCTATTTAAAAGTACTTGCTTTTTCAGTTCTGTATGGAGAAATAATTATTTAAAGGAGTTAGTATTCTGGTGTCAAAATCCAACTGGATGTAAAAAGGAAGGATTGCATTCAACAGTTCCTTCACTTCTGCTAATGTCTCGTACTGCAAAAAGGTGTGCACATGTTTAACCTGTTGTGCACCCAGTATCCTTGGAGCTAATTAGGTTATTTGCATGCATGAAGTCACGCATGTAAGTAGTTCTGTGCAGAATCAGGACCACACTCAGTCAGCTCGGACAAAATGATTTTTACCTAGAAATACTTGAAGTAGGCAGGCCTAGCACACCGGGGAGAAGGTAGAGCACCAAGTCCTCTTCCAGCCTGGTGCAGCTCTCATCCCATTCACTATGTGGCCATGAGAAAATTAGGGAGAAGTTTTCATAATGATGGTACCCTTTAAAGGAGGTCCATTTTTAGGAGTGCTGGGCAACCTACATGCCATAAAACCATGTATGAGCAGTGTGGAAGTTTGTCAACTGAGAACTGAAAACTAGGTTATTTTTGCATAAGCATCCAGGCACTGGGAATTGTGTATGGAAATACTGGTTTGAATTTCTATGGCCCACCTACGAAACAAGAATCTGGGTAATGAAACTTTACTTACCTTTCTGCCTCGTAGGGCTATTGAAAACTGAACAGTTTCTCTTTGTGTAGTACATTGAAAATGAGAACCACTTCATAAAACCTCATAATTATCACTTTATATCCAGTTTGAAAACCAAGTTTAAACACACACAAATGAAGTCCCAATGGATATTTCGCTATTTTGTTCATGTAATAGCCAGAAAAGTCTTAACCTAAAACAAATCTTGAGGAAGAGGAAAGAAGGCTGTACTTCAGTGGAGAGAAGTCTGTTAACTTTATAACACTTCCCTGAAAAATATAAAATTGTGGCAGAATCAGAGGGGGAAGTCATATTACAAAATAAGAGTAAACCTTATAGACGTTTAATATTAATCACACCTTCCTTCAAAGGAAATTACTTTTGCTAAATATGCATAGCTATTATCTATTAACATAGGCAAATTGTTGCTAAATTACTTCAGTCTAATTTCTAACATACCTGAAGAAATGCAGTCAAATGCTCTTCAGACATCTATTCATCTCCAAGTAGCTCCAACACATTGATGATTTAGACAGGAAGGGAGCAGTGGAAATGATTTCATGACCAAAACAATTCTTTTGCCTGACATGAGCTAGCGCTGGATGGCCTTAGCTTAAAAAAACCCCAACAATAGAGGCTGTGTGACTGAGTCAGAGGGCTTTTCCAGCTGGCTCATGTGTCACATGCAGTTCCTTTGCTGTTGTTTTGGGGTTGGGTTTTGGTTTTTCT